AAAAAAAAAAAAAGCCAGGGGTTGTGAGTGGGCACCGCCTATAGTCCTAGCTACTTGGGAGGCTGAGGGAGGAGGATCACTTGAGTCCAGGAGTTTGAGGCTGCTGTGAGCTGTCATGCCACCGCACTCTGCCCTTGATACTCTGTTTCAAAGAAATAAACAATAAAAACTTAAAACATGCTCTTTCAAAGTGGCTGGTACAGAATTTGTGGGGGGAAAGCCCAGAGAGGGTGACCCTCTGACTGTCACACAGAAATAGTAGCACAAACAAACAATATTTACTTTTGCCTGTTTCCTCTCCTGATCTGCCTATCTCACTGGATCTAAGCATTTTCTGTGCTCCCTTCAACCCCCATGCGGCTCATACTATCCACCTCACCTGGCTGCCACCCACCCTCACAACCCCCAGTCTACCCTGAGCACTGAACCCATCCATTTTGCAGATGTCGCCTCTCTATACGGCCTCCCTAGTGCCCTCTTCCAGACTTAAGGGACAGCTTCTTGGTAACAATGGGATATTTTGCTGGTGTAATGGCATTTTGGTATTAAATGGGTATAAAAAACCATTTACAAAATACATGGAAGTTAACAGGTATAGTGGCTCACACCTATAATCTCAGCACTTGGGCAGCTGAGGCAGGTGGATTGCCTGAGCGCATGAGTTCAAGATCAACCTGAGCAAGAGCGAGACCTCGTTTCTAAAAAACAAAAAAAATAGTTGGGTGCTGTATCAGGCACCTGTAGTCCCAGCTACCTAGGAGGTTGAGGTAAGAGAATCGCTTGAACCCAAGAGTTTGAGGTTGCTGTGAGCCAGGATGCCACAGCATGCTACCAAGGGTGACCAATGAGACTGTCTCAAAAAAAAAAAAAAAATACATGGAAGTCATAAATGTCCTTCAACTGATGAACAGATAAAATGTGGAGCCACAATCATTATTAGACAACTGAAAGGACCGGAGTACTTATAAATACCACAGTCTAGAAGTACTTGAGGACAGACTGCTAAGTTAAAGACACCGGTCACAAAAGACCACATATTCTGTGATTTTATTTATAAGGAATGTCCAAAATAAGTAAATCTACATACAGCAACAGAAAGCCAATTATGGCTTGGCTCAAGCGGCTAAGGCGCCAGCCACATACACCTAAGGTGGCGGGTTCAAATCCCCAGCCCAGGCCCACCAAACAACAATGATGCCTGCAACCAAAAAAAAATGGCCGGGCGCTGTGGCAGG